ATGTTCCTTAAGAAGGCTCCTGGCCAGGTGTGGTGTCTCATGCCTGTAATCCCAGCACATTGGGAGGCAGAGGCAGGCAGATTGTCTGAGGTCCGGAGTTTGAGACTAGCCTGGCCAACATGGTGAAAGCATGTCTGTACTAAAAATACATAAATTACCCAGGCGTGGTTGTGGATGTCTGTAATCCAAGCTACTCAGGAGCATCACTTGAACCTGGGAGGCAGAGGTTGCCGACATCTCACCATTGACCTCCAGTCTGGGGGAGAGAGTGAGAGTCCATCTCCAAAAAAAAAGGTTCCTGGCAGTAGGTCCCAGGTTATTTGAGTATGAGAAGGAGTATGAGGAAAAGTGAGTTTTGTTTCTCATCTAGAGTACTGAAATGCTGAAGTAGATTTCAGAGGGTGTCCCCAGGACTCAGACCTTATGATTTTTGGCCATGGCCTTTACTTCTGTTTCCTGACAGCTTTATTTTCATTGGGTTGGTTCTGTTTATTGGTAATATAGTAGGAAACATTTGACTTCTCATCTTCAAGAGGAAATCATGACAAATACAGTATAGATGGCACTTGGTAATGGAACTGGAATCATATATGAGGTTCCTGTAGGTGGAATTCTGGTTAGGGGTCGGTGTGGGGAGGAGAGTCTCTTTTTTCATATTTCTGTCCTGACTTTACTTTTTATTTAGCTTCACTGCACAATGTGAATCAGTAATCATCTTTCTGTAGCTAGCAGGGTTTAGAACTAATGAAAGTATTGTTTAGTTTTTAACCTCATAGCCTGTCATTGTGCCTATATTTCCACAGCCAAATCTTCATCTCACTGACATTTCTAGTGACTCTGATGCTTTATTTTTGGTATTGTGGCTTATCTTTTGTTATCTTTGTTCTCTGTAATATGGTCATCAACAAATGTTTATTAAGCACCCCCACTACCTGTACAGCTTTGATGATGTAGGGAGATTTGCTTACCTTATTAGTTTTTGACAGTTGCTTATATTTCTTCTGCTTTTGACAGTTTACATTTATTAGGCTTTCACACATACTGTCTCATCTAATTGCTGTAACATTTTAGCAAGTAAGATCTTTTTTCCTTTCACTCAGCAAATGTATTCTTGTATAATCACTTTCCAGGAAGTTACATTGCAGGTGGGAAGAAGTGACATAAGGAAGAAAACACATGGTAACAGAAGTGACTTGTTTTAAGGTTCAGATGGGTTCTTTTATACGCGGTCACTGTTAATGGAATTGTGGACAGTGAGAGAGGGGGCATTTGACAGTTTAGGACTTAACATGGGACCTAAAGAAATGGTACAAAGAGAGAGGACCTTCAGATGGTTGCCCAGTGTGGCTCAAGCATAGAGGTGCATGTGTGTACCATGCATTTATTACACGTGAAGGTTTTAATTTGAATGAAGCCAGGTTAGTCAGGTCTGAATTTAATTATTGAGTACCTAATGGTGTAGCACTTCAGAATGTACAGAAACCATTGGAAATCATCTAGTCCATCTCATATAGGTTATTAAAAGACATGCTCATATAGAGTAGGTTACTGCATTATTTTTTGTGTAGACTATTCCTGAAGTGTAGACTATATCCTGGTTTCTTCTATACACATCTCCTTTGTGAATCAATTCTGACTAGATTTTATAATCTTAAAAGGAAATATGTTGTTAAGGAAGTTACATTTATTCTATCATTTTTGTAACTATACCATGTGACCTTTCAAGGAGGATTTTATTAAAGGTGTAGCATTTGTGTAAGTCTTCACGCTTTCCTTAAGTCAGCAAAACTTAGCAGCACGTTTATATCTCTGTTGCAAATATTGTACAAAATAGATATTTTTCAAATGAGAGAAAACAGTCCACAATTTTTAATTAAGGGTTGAACATGCCATTGTGCTTTTTGTTATTCTTAAGAAAAAGTACGCTCTGATTGATTAGTTGGTAGAAACAACTGATCCAAATGGTATTTGTCTAGACAGTGATGCCTCTGGGAAGTCCTGATGATCCAGGGTATGGATTTCTGAAGCTTCACTTGTTTTTATCAGTCAATTTCCAAGATGCCTAGAGACCATTAACATAGATAATAAATTAAGCTGTGTTTGGTAATATGCAAAGAACTATACTCAGAAAGAAAACGTTTAACTTAGAAGAAGGAAACCAAATATTGTAAGTGTAGATTGCTAGGGTTTTGAGGAAACCTACTCAATAGTAGCCATCTTTCCTGCTGGAGTTTTGAAACTATTGAGAAATAAGATAGATAGTAAGTGAAATGTCACTTTTATATTGATTTAAGCCAGATTGCAGGATATAACCCAGTTTGAGGATCAAATGGGGCTTGCTAACTGAAGATGGCAATTAAACAGACTTACTCACCCATTTAGAAAAGATGTTGGCCCATGTGAGGCCTTCTCTCACTAAGCGGGGCCTTTATAGTTTAACGTACACCAGATACCACTTAACTATCTTCAGGCATTCTAGTTTCTAGGGTGCAACATGGGAGTTGCTAAGCCATCATGCCCAGCCTTTTATTCTCAAGTTTTATCAGTTAGAGGCATTATGTCACTTCCCCTGGAGTGGGTAAAAGATGGAGAGAGGTCACAGATGACATTAGTTGAATTTCATTCTAGTGACAAGAAATACAAGTGGGGGTAAGGCATTTCTTCCAACATCCAAAGTGATACATCTTTTCACATTCAAAACTCTCTGAAATGAGGATGTGTCTGAAATCAGTGGCATCTTAATGGCTGCCTACTGGAAACCAATCATGATGAATTGTCACTGCTGCAGTGTATGTGAGCTTGGGTTGCTCCTCACGCCATGACCCTTCAGTGTTTCAGTTAATGAACTAAGTCATGATCATTTGAGGAAAGAGTATCAGTCCTGGTAGGGGCAGGAAAGCCTTCTGTTTAAACCTCCTGACTGCATCACGAAAGCAACAACTTCAAACTTTGCAGGGCGCGTATCGGCAGCCTGGAATAAATTTTTACAAGCTACCCATCTGACAAAGGGCTAATATCCAGAATTAACAAAGAACTAAAACAAATATTCATGAAAAAAACAATCCCATCAAAAAGTGAACGAAGGATATGAACAGACACCTCTCAAAAGAAGACATGTATGTGGCCAACAAACATATGAAAAAAAGCTTATCATCACTGGTCATTAGAGAAATGCAAATCAAAACCACACTGAGATACCATGTCACCCCAGTTAGAATGACAATCATTAAAAAATCTGGAGACAACAGATGCTGGAGAGGATGTGGAGAAATAGGAACGCTTTTACACTGTTGGTGGGAGTGTAAATTAGTTCAACCATTGTGGAAGACAGTGTGGCGATTCCTCAAGGATGTAGAACCAGAAATACCATTTGACCCAGAAATCTCACTACTGGGTATATACCTAAAGGATTGTAAATTGTTCTGTTATAAAGACACATGCATACTTATGTTCACTGCAGCACTATTTACAATAGCAAAGACTTGGAACCAACCCAAATGCCCATCAGTGATAGACTAGATAAAGAAAATGTGGCACATATACACCATGGAATACTATGCAACCATAAAAAAGGTTGTTCTTCTCCTTTGCAGGGATGTGGATGAAACTAGAAACCATCATTCTCAGCAAACTGACACAAGAACAGAAAAGTAAACACTGCATGTTCTCACTCATAAGTGGATGTTGAACAATGAGAACACATGGACATAGGGAGGGGAACATCACACTCTGGGGTCTGTTGCGGGGGTAGTGAGATTGGGGAGGGATAACATTAGGAGAAATACCTAATGTACATGACGGAGGGATGGAAGCAGCAAACCACCATGGCATGTGTAGACCTATGTAACAATCCTGCAAGATCTGCACATGTACCCCAGAACTTAAAAATAAATACAGTATGCAACATGGAACACTCCTTTATGAAACATATACTCTTGGTGACACTGGATGACAACATTTATAAAGCAGGGACATTGAAAACTCTGAGTCAGAGTGATTCGGAAGAGCTAGACTTCAAATATTATTTAGTTTGAAGAATCACAAACTTATTTTTCTTGCATTTCCTTATTGAATGTGCCTGAAAGGTTTATGGTAACCATTTGTTTTTTGTTTGTTTGTTTGTTTATTATACTTTAAGTTCCGGGGTACATGTACAGATTGTGCAGGATTGTTACATAGGCATACACATGCTGTGGTGGTTTGCTGCCTCCATCCCCTGTCATCTGTGTTACGTATTTCTCCTAATGTTATCCCTCCCCAACATGCAGCAACTTTGAATGGCAGGCACTTCATCCTTTCTCTGAAAGCTTTACATGACATACTGTCCAAGATGGACACTGGTCATTAGAGATCAAAATTTTCACCTTAACTGAATTGTAGCCCGGCACTGTTGCTTTAAATGTAGCATTTCTTCTTACCGTGTGTCTGTGTTCTTACTCCAGAGTGAAAATGCTGTTGTGGTTTTTTGTTTGTTGTTTTGTTTTGTTTTTTTTGAGACGGAGTCTCACTCTGTCACCCAGGCTGGAGTTGTAGTAGCACAATCTTGGCTCACTGCAACCTCCACCTCCCAGGTTCAAGCCATTCTCCTTCCTCAACCTGCCGAGTAGCTGGGATTACAGGTGTGTGCCACCACACCTGGCTAATTTTTGTTTTTTTATTTTTTAGTAGAGACAAGGTTTCACCATATTGGCCAGGCTGACCTTGAACTCCTGGCCTCAACTGATTTCACCCTCCTCAGCCTCCCAAGTGGTGGGACCTCCCAAAGTGGTGGGAAGGCGTGAGCCACTGTGCCTAGCCAGAGTGAAAATTCTAATCTATTGTTTATTCAAGTGAAGAAGACTGGATGAAATAAGGCAAACTAATTTTATACATATAGAAGGTAACTAGTTGGAAAGATGGTCCTACTTATGATAGTATAGGACTCATCTAGTTATGCTTGGTTTCTTTATTTATAAAAGTTTCAGTGAGCTACATCTCTTTTTTTTTCTTTCTTCCAAAAGGGGGTCCTGATGACAACTTAATTGAAGGTGGAGGAACAAAATTTGTCTGCAAACCTGGAGCCAGAAACATTACCGTCATATTCCATCCATTACTAAGGTACGTCTAGTGCTATGTTGTACTTACTGAAGATCAATATTTTCATGATTTATGCAGCTCTACTGAATGCCAGTTGTTGAGTCAGCATTGAAACAAGTCATGAAAGAAATTTGTTCCATTTCTAGGGCCTCACTATCAAAGTTAGTCAGTTTAACAGATAATGGCAATACCACTGAGTAGCCACTTATTTTCAGGAGTAAATACTTGTATTTGATTTTCTTTCTTTCACACTCCCTACGTTTGTCCCTTCCTCTTATCCATCTGAGGAGTTGGCAAACTACGGCTTATAGAGAAATCTAGCCTGAACATGTATTTGTAAATACATTTTTATTGACACACAGACATGCTCATTTGTTTATGTATCGCCCATAGCTGCTTTTGTGCTCCAAGTGCACACTTGTAATTGCGACAGTACTCATATGGCCCAGAGAGCCTGAAATACTTACTCTCCGGCCCTTTACAGGAAAAAATTGCCAACACATAATTTGTCCCTCTCATTTACACCAATGACTGAGATGTCCTTTGAGAACTGGCAGGTCTCTGAACAAATACGATTTATAAAAAAATCAAAGACATACACATCGAGTGTATGTTTGTGTATATTGAAAGATAACGTGATGGTGACTAGTGTGAAATCTGCTGTAATGCTCAGTTCATTGTGATACCACGATTATAGGGAAGGAAGAATCCGTGGTGCTTCCATTGAAGAAAAAATTTAAACGCTAAATACTTTGTAAAAGGTGCTTTTCAAGAGTGGAAGAAAGGGACAATTGTTGAGTAGATAAAAAATTTCCATTTTATGATTGAAAAGTTCTAGAGATCTCTTACATAACCAGGTGCACATAGTTAATGCTGTGTGGTACATTTAAAAAGAGTTGATGATAAATTTAATATTATGTATTTTTTACCACAATTTTTAAAATACACCTTTTGGGTTCCAGGTATCTAATATAATGTTAATTGTATGTTTTCTCTGTAAAGAACCAGTGTATATTTTGTGGCATTTTCATGTAATAGGCCAGAAACTCCTGGGTTTACTAAAAGTGAAGTACTTTAGGATATCACCTTACTTTTCTCAGGTCACTCTTATAAGATTTCAGGCATTTGGAATAACAGTTAAACAATTGCTGTTGAATTTGCCAGAGATAATATTATGTATATTTTCTCCAAGCATAAACAGCTTACAATTTTCCTACTTTCTTATTAACAGAGTTATTAAATTTATGCTATTAGAACTAATTACATTCTGATATCTTGTATAGGTAAACAATGTTTTGAATTCTACTGGATTACTTTCCTCAATTGATTTTAAATGGAAAAACACAAATATGTAAATTAAATAACAAAAACTTGACTTTCACACAATAAAAAAATTTTAAAGAAATTTTATTGACTTTAAGAAGTCTGGTTTTGGCAGATTTGTAACAAGTAAATTCATTTAGGAACTATGGGATTAAGAAAATTAAGATTACTAAGAGATTAAGAAAATTAAAACTCTCTGTAGGTTTAGTTGATAAGTACTATATATATATAATAAGTAAATTATAACATACAGACTTTATAGGTTAAATAACTGATTCTATATATCAATTGACTTGGGTAATTTGTTTTCACTGTCTTCTTCAATTATGATTGATTTCTACTTAGTTATGTTGCTAATTGTTAGAAATTGGAAAATGCCTTAATCATGATAGACATCATCTAACCTAGATTTAGTGCCCTAAGTTACTGCTAAGTTGCACTGTAGTTTGGATAAATGGAATTCTTGTGCTTACATTTCTTCCCAAGTAGAGAAGAAACCCTTTAGAAGCTATTAACAGTATTGTCAGTAACCACTTTTCAAGAGATTTTTCCTTTATTTTTCTTTTTGAACATGAATTTAGAAGAAGAATATATGTATATATATACACACACATGCACACACATATATGTTATTACTTTAGACTTAAATGCATTTTTTTGTAGGAGACTAGTAGAACTGAATGTATTACAGTTCTTGACAGTTTTTTGTTGGTGTTTTTAATACTGCTTTGCTAGATAGTTGTTTCAAGGCTTGGTAGTACTCCCAGTGGTTTTACTCACTTGGTTTCTACTTTCATTCAGAATTTTAACTTATTATTGGTTAAAACTGGAAAAAGTTTGTTGCTTGATACAGTTTATCATTCATTCTTTCTCTGTGTATCTCTTAATGGAAATTCCAAGAATATTATTTGGTCTACAAGGTAAGTTCATTCTTTGACGAGCAGATGACCATGATAGAGTTGAAATTTACCCTTAGACCAAATTGCAACCTTGTGAAAAACTCCTGATTGGCTTGTGGAAGTTCAAATGACTAAGATCTTTTAGTGGTTTTTTACTTTTTTCATTTGAGTTTTACACTTGAGCATTTGCTTAGTGTTGGATTTATTATTTCTTCTAAAGTTTAGAAGTTTAGTTTTTGTAATTAGAAGAACCAGTGTGCTTTATCATACTAGTGTGCTTTATTAGTACTATTATAATGTAAATTTTTTCTTTTATATTCAATGAATTTTTATTGAATATTTATGATGCATATTTTCCTATTTCCAAGTTAGATGTGGTCTCTTTTTCAGATGTACTTCTGTTTTTATGAGATTATGTAAATAAAATAAAATGCAGATATGTTTTCTATCATTTAGAATGGTCACTGCTTTTATTCTATGCTAGTTTAAGTGAGTATTAGTTAGCATTCTGTTGTTTGAAAGATAGTGTAGTATAATGGGAGACACAGTGTAGAAGAATGAAAGATGGAAAAAATAAAATAAACAGGATTGCAAATTTCAAATGAAAAACATGACAAGTGATCTTGGTTCAGGTCTAGGCTCCTTCACTTCAGTTTTACTCACTGCTTGTTAATAGACTCTGATTATGCCATGTCCTGGGGAAACAAAATAAGAGCATATCCTTGCAAGCTCCTCTCTTGGCAGCTGCATGGGTTGCAAAAATGAAGAAACCTGAAATCACCACATATTGGTGAGGACGTGGATCAGTGGGATCTCTTCTACCTTGTGGGAGGATGTAAATTGGGTTGGCCTCTCTCAAAACCGGTTTGACATTATTGAGAAATCACATTTCCTGTTACCCAGCAATTCCCTCTCCTAATGCTATTGAATGTGTTTCTTATTTGTTATCAACTGACTCATTATTTTTCCATCCCAATTTGCCAAATCTCTTTCTAATTGATTACAGTAATTATTCTTTATTTATAAATTAGCTCATATTAAAAAATAAGTTCAGCCAGGCATGGCGGCTCACACCTGTAATTCCAGCATTTGGGGAGGCTAAGGCAGATGCATCACTTGAGTTCAGGAGTTCAAGATCAGCCCGACTACTAAAAATACAAAAATTAGCTGGGTGTGGTGGTGTATGCCTGTAATCCCAGCTACCAGGGAGCCTGAGGCAGGAGAAACACTTCAACCCAGGAGGCAGAGATTGCAGTGAGCTGAGTTCGCGCCACTGTGCTCCAGCCAAGGCAAGAAGAGCAAAACTCCCTCTCAAAAATAAAATAAAAAAGTTCAGGAGGAACTTACCACAAGTTGACTTTTATCAAATTCAAGACCTATTTAAACATTGTATATATTTTTTCTTACCTGATCTCTTGGCAATGTCAGATTTTTTTTCAGTGGAGAGAGAAACCCTTTCAAGTGTGTGGGTTCTTCACTTTCCTTTGCTGCTTTTTCCCTGTACCTTGTGTCACTGGTACTCTGTCTTCCTCCAACTTTTCATGTGACTGTTCTACACACTTCATTTATTAAAATTATTCCTTTCATAATTTTCATTCAGTTAGCAGTGCGTTCTTTGCAGCCTTGAGGGTTTCTGTATTGACAACTTCAACCACCCTTCTAAGAATACCGCAGAGCGGATTCCCGTTACACTGGTTTATATATTCCCAGCAGTCATTCATACTGTCCTCTCATAAAATTATTGTGTGGGGTCCTCAATGCTGGTAATCTTGCTCACTTATTTTTATACTGTTCTCATAGTTACTGTAGTTCCATCACTAGGAAATCTCTCAGGATGTCAGAGCAAATGTACTGACCTCTAATTTGTGTTCACTCCCCATTAACTCTGCTTGTCCCTTTACTTGTTTATTTAATGCTTTTCCTTAATATTTTCTCTTTACAGTCAAGCATGTCTCTTAGAGAGTAAATTTCTAAAAAGAAATGGGGTGTAGTATTATCTTACTTGCTTTACTCTTAGCCTACGAAGACATTGTCTGTAATTAAACCTTTAATGAATGTTTTTAATAACAGGTCTTTTTTTTTTTTGATACGGAGTCCTACTGTGTTGCCCATGCTGGAGTGCAATGGGGCAATCTCGGCTCACTGCAAGCTCTGCCTTCTGGATTCAAGCGATTCTTCTGCCTCAGCCTTGGAATAGCTGGGATTACAGGCACTCACCATCACACCCAGCTAATATATTTTAGTAGAGATGAGGTTTTGCCATGTTGGCCAGGCTGGTCTCAAACTCTTGACCTCAGGTGATCCGCCCACCTCGGCCTCCCAAAGTACTGAGATTACAGGTGTGAGACGCAGCGCCAGGTCAATAACAGGTCATCTAATCAGTGTTTCTACTTGTGGGTCTAAACGAACAAAACCATATTAAGAGTTTCTACCCATGCCCAGCTAGATTCCAAAATACTTTCCCCAAAATACAGACTCTGAAAATGATATAACTGATGTCTTTTTTTTCTCCCATTGACATGTTTGCTCTCTTTCAGTTTTCTCTGGAAGGCTTTAAGACAAATGAATGAATTCATTCTGATAAATGAAATTTATGTTATGGGCCTTGATTTTGGGGAACAGAAGGAAGATATGTTAATGTTGGAATTTGAGTGACATTATTTCCCTTCTTTTGTGTGGCTCTGACATGCATTTAGGTTTCTTTCCAAAAATAATTACTTTTGAATAATTACATCATGGTAATTATTAACCATGATCCAGATATAATAAACCTTTGGCAATGAAGTACATTTTATTGCG